GTACAAAGTATTAGATAAATTTCAGTAAGTGTGTTCAATACTTTTTCACTGTGCCATTCCACATTATTTTGATTTATTTGTATGCATGGATCACTTGGGTTGTTACCGACATCTGGTGAAAATTTCATGTCATTAGCACCTCTAGTAATATATTTACTGAGAAAAATGTTGACGTGTTCAATACTTATTTTACCCGCTGTATATCATCTCATTCCATGTTAGTGTTATTCTGTAATGCCGTTTGCAATCTCACCTGTTTACCCGAGGACTCCTACACTCATTGGGATCACTACCGTGAACTGTTTCTGTACCTTTTATGTTTTTCACGGCCAGTCAGCCAACATGTTTGTTGTTTGAATTGTTTGTGTTTTATAGAAAAAACACAAATAATGTAGGTGGCAGTGTTACTGACAAGGTTTATCCAAGTTGGGAAGGATTTTGAAAAGGTGTTGTGGGAGGAGATGTCTAGGTTTGAAGAGTCCATGGGACCTGCTGAGGCAGCTGCAAAATCCTGGCCAGATAATGACACAGACACCACACAAATTGCTGGTTTCCCTCCACATCACACTGATACCCTCACTCTCCTAACCAGATTCAGCACCCTGATCAAAGTGCCGGTAAACCTAACCAGATGTCTCGCATGTTAAGCCCAACTGATCTTATCTCACCTGAGGTGCAGAGGATTGTGATTGAGCATGTTGTCAAAACTACAGAAAATACATTTAATACTCATTCCACCCTCAGGTTGAGAGCTTACTCGGGGAAGAATCCCACACTCGTACATTGATACACTATGAAACATGGCATTCCCATGTTGATTTGATGATGGAAGATGCGTCTCTAAGTTGTAAAACTCAGAAAATTCTTGATTCTTCTCACTCCAGCTTCAGATGTTTTTCTTGCCAAGGAGTATTGTTACCACTAGGGCTTCCATGATTRGTCAACTAGTCGCGATTATGTCAACTATTAAAATAATCAACAACTAATTTAATAGTCGATGTGCCCTTTTTTTTAAACTTTGTATCTTTTTTATAGTCGACAAATAAGTGATTAGTCGCCTATAAAAATAATCATTTGTGGCAGCCCTAATTACCACTACTGTGCATGTGTGTCAAGGACAGAAAGGCAGACGCAGCAGTGGAAGGTGCCACAGCAGTTTGGAGAGAAAAACAAAGTTAGAAAAAAAATGATGCATCAACTATTAAATTGTCAACGTTTTTAATAGTCGACAATAATCGTAACTGGTCGACTAATCATGGCAGCCCTAGATCAAACACAAATGTCCTTACCTTTTGTGCTCACTCACTTGCTGATTGTTTTCTTTGTGTTTCTATAGGTGAAGGTAACATGAAGCTACACTGCTGTGTTGCTGCCTATATCTCAGACTTTGCTTTGCTTGGCACGGTCCTACTGCCATATTCCAAATACAAGGCCCACTTTGTTGCTTCCTTGGACCATGCCATGTGGTTTCATAGTACTTTCCGCAGCGATGAGTGGATGCTGTACGAGTGTGAAAGCCCATGGGCAGGTCAGTATATTTCTCATATCTTATCTGTTTTTGTTTGTCACAGCACAACTAATCAGACTCTTTCTCCTAAATATCATCCCTTACTTGTCCCTGTTGAAGTCCAAGGAATGACTTGTTTTCACTGTTCTCCAAACAGAAAGGTTGAACAGGTGAATGCCAAACGCCCACACTGGGTTAAGGGTTGCTATTATTTTCAGCTAAGTTGTGGAACAGGCGGCAAAAGTAAAAGTGTTTTTAACTGTCAGGCTCCCCCTGATGCAATTTTCTGTAAAGCTTCTTGTCAGATCAGAAGTTACCATCATGACCATTTCGAATGCTGGTAGAATCCAGACGGAGCAGTGAAGGGAAACTAGAACTGAGCGGAACTGCGTAGGAAGGCAAGGGCCAGGCTAGGGTCAGGTAGGTACCTGTGAGGTTAATTTTAGGGTAAATGGTCAGGATTAGGATATAAAATTTCCAAAAAATGAATGGAAGTCAATGGAAAGTCCCCACAAGGATAGAGAAACGGTGTGGACAATTTCTCCACCCCTCCCCCAAAAAAAGCAGCCTCATTGGGACGGAAGTGAATTGTGGGGACTAATGTCAGGTCCCCACGGGTCCAAATGCATGTTACAGGTGTGGGGTTAGGTTTAGGACCAAGGTTTAGGTTAGTTTTATGCTACGTTCACACCGAACGCGTTTTGAGCGGCCAAAAAGCGCAAAACGTCTCTCGTTGGACGCACTATTTTCAGACCGAAGAACGCACTATTTTCAGACCGAAGAACGCACTAGTGTTCAGACCAGAACAAGCAGCGGCAGCAGCGAGGTGTGGGAGGAGTGTGTCTTCGGCGGGTGAAATAAAGATAAAATAAAAGAAAATGGCTTTGATTTATTTACTAAAAAGCAAGCGAACGTTGCGCACTGCAGATAATTAACTCACTAGATGATTTAGAGGCGATTTGTTCGGTTAGTTTCGTCACTCCAGATGCTGCCAGCTGACGGACTTTTTTTCTTTTTTCTTTTTTTCTTTTTTCTTTTGTATTTTTTTATTATTATTATTTTTTGGTCCCGAGCAGCTGATCCACATCGGTGCTGACATATCCTGCCAGAAAATCCAACTGCACACGGTCGATTTCAGGTAAAGATCTCCAGTCCGTCTTGTTTCGATTTTCAGTGGGAAAAGTGTCGAGCGGCAAAAAGTTCAGATATTTGAACTCTGGCGGCGGCTTCCGCAGCACCGCATGCACGGAAAACGCTCTGCGCCCCTTTCGCCTTCCTTGCGCGCCGCCCAAAACATACGTGACACGACGCACGACCCCTAGAGGCGCGTCCTCTTTGCATGTAAATCGGCCTCTCCTGCCGCTCAAAACGCGTTCGATGTGAACGTAGCATTAGGGTCAGGTAGCTGTGAGGTTAGCCTAAGGGTTGGTAGTCAGGGTTAGGCTGTAGAAATTACTGGACATGAATTGAAGTGAATGAACGGTCCTCATAAGGATAGAAATACAAACCTGTGTGTGTCATACAGGGAGCAGCAGGGGACTGGCCCATGGTCGACTGTGGAGAAGGGATGGAGTGTTGGCTGCCACGTGCTCCCAAGAGGGTGTCCTGAGGGTGAAACCAGTCAAAGAGAGCAGCAAACTGTAGAAATGTTTGGTTTTGTTTAAAACTGTAAATAATACACACAGTAATTACTAATATATTTAGTTTTAAATTGCTCTTTGCCACACTTGTTACTTTTTAAATCTAACACATGATATTAATTTGGGTATTGAAAAGACTTGTATTACTGACACATCACAGGTCATTATTAGGAAAAGAAACCAACCTTGTAGATTGTTTTTATTCTGACTTTGCTTAAAAGCAGCTTCTAGGAATATATTATGACCAAAACTGACTGTATTAATGAGCTTAAAATTGTAAAGTGATTTACTTTATTGCTTTTCAAGTTAACAAATAAGATGTTTTTGTAGCATGAAGGATTGATGGTTTTATCCTGACCTTTTGACTCTACACTCTTAAAACAGATGTGTTAATATCAACACAAACTGTCAAAACTCAACACAATGTGTCTATATAAGGACAACAYATTTTGTGTTCAATTCAACACATTTACTGTGTTGATCATTTTAACATAATTGCTGTGTTAAAATTATTAACAGTGTGTTTCTTTAACACAGGTACTTTATTAATATTTTTTACACAGCAATTGTGTTAAATAATTAGCACAAATAAATGTGTCATATTGAACACAAAATGTGTTGTCCTTATAAACACATTTTTGTGTAAAAACGTGTTAAATATGTTAATTAGATTAAAGAAAGGAACTCCTGTAGTAGAAAAATAAACATTTATTGTAAACTTTTAATATCGCAATTGACAAAAAGTCACATAGCATGTTAAGTTCATTTACTCAGTTTGTTGAACCATTAAAAAATTAATACATTTTTAAATTGTTTTACAGTTTACACTTTCTTTGCCTTTAAAAAATAAACATAATCTTTTTAATTTTTCTTTACACAAAACCTATTCATCTCTCACAGGTCACAAAATACATTTTAAGCATAAACTACAAATCTAATTTAGGTTATTAATACATCACAAGGATGAGATGCCTGATCCAGACTGTACACACAACAAGGAGGCATGAACATTAAATTAACAAATATTAAAATGATTCAAACATAACAATACATAAAGAACATACAGTTGAGAAGTCCATCAGGAAAGAAATGTCTGATTTTACACTGCAGCAACTCCAACCCTTCCCTTGTCCTGTTGCAGTTGGTGGAAGAAAGTGGGTGAGTGCCTGAAGTGCTTTGAAGCAGATCATTTCTAGACAGAAATATAAGACAGAAAAATAGATACCGTCATAAAAGAAAAGTATGTTTTTGCAAAAAAATAAAGTATTCTACAGACTGCCGCAGCTCCCTGTGCAGTGTAATAAATTTACAATTTACGATTAATTTATTTTAAACATAACTTAATTAGGAGTTTACTGGTGATAAGCAACTTATTTTAGCCAAAGAATCATGCCGTGTAAGCTAAGCTAACAATCAGTGGTCGATGACAAGGAAGTATAATTTACGACAGACTGATATTTTAGGAATGAAATGGCACAAATCAATTTCCTCAAGAATTCTATGCTTTAACAGTTAATCGAATAAAACATTATTTTACCTTTCATTTCCTGCTTCCAGGATGTCCTGTAATGGCAGTCGCTTCAGTTGAATTTTTCTGCTATGAGGAAAGTTCCTGAACTCCAGACGTCCAAGAAGTGATGTGATTGGTCGAAGGAGTAACACATTTTATGYGTACAGTTGTTTATTCAGAACAACACGTGTTGTGTTGAAAACAACACAAGATGTGTTAACTTGATGCTAACACAAAAAATGTGTTAAAATATAACACATTTATTTTAAGAGTGTACAGGTCATGATTTCTCCAGAACTGAACTCTGTTCTGAAAAAGCTTTCTTGGAAACAAACTCAGGTGTAGCTTCTTCAATAACCTGTCCTTGTCTGCAGATAAAGCTGACATGACACTCTGAATCTTTTGTGATTAATTAAAAAAGAAGAAATAAAATTCTGTGGCATGATTTTCTTTCTTTATTTAGGTGTTTCGTTCAAGTGTTATTGAATGATGATCTGTCAGTTTTAACCATTCGGTTGTGAGGATCTCAAACTCCCTCTGGTGTCTGTCTTGTGTTTCTCATGCTCTTCTTGTTTCAGCTTTTTCCTGATCATTCTCACCTGTCTACTTTGTAATCACCCAGCTGTCTCCACTTGCCACTTACTCTGTTACTATATTACTGATTCCCTTCCTCATCAGTTCATTGTTGGGTCATGCCTGTGCACCCCTCTTGTGCTCAAGAGTTCTCCGTTTCATTGTTTGTTTGTTTTTTGCCGCCACGTTAGCATTTTCTTTAATAAATTATTTTATATTCTTGAGCCTGTTTGTATTCTGAGTCCACCTCACCTCCAACCTTCTGTCAGCAGAGTTAAAATATTAACCAACTGTTCCTTTCTCTTTCTCTCATGAGCAGATAAACAACAGCTGTGTTCAATGCCGTGCTGATAACAGAGGAAGTGATTTTCCCCAAAAGAAATGCTTTTGTCTGTAGAAATCTGACCCTGAGAAGTAAATGTTTTATTTTGACCTGAGAAGCTGTTGCAGCTCGTGGAGAGACAAAAAAAAATCAGTTCTGCTTTTATTCTTGAAGCGTTGAAACGTTCAGATGGAACAGCTGAGGCAAAAAAATGTAGTCTAATTAAACTGTAGAGGAGTTTATCAGCARACTCCAAGCTGAAGGAGTCCCCGCAGCCAAGTTGTCCACCTTTGACTCTTTGGCCATCAGCCGTAGTTAAGTCATTGTTATATTACTAGTTAAAAATTACATGAATAAAACATTCATTGTTCTTTACAGCAAAAAGCTACTTTCAACTATATTGGTTTTGTGTTAATGCCATTATGTTGAATGGCAAAATCAATTTGATAACATGTTTTTAGAAAATAGTTTTGACCTTCATAACATTTCTTTTCCACCATAATGTTTAGTAAAGCCTCTGACATTGTGCCATGTTGGAACCTACCTACCTTTGAAATCTTTGTAAAAACACCACACATTTTTAGCAAGCTCATCCCATCGCTAACTTCCTGTGAGGAAGGTTCTTAAACATATCAATCTTTTAATGGCAATGCCATCTAGTGAATTTTTTGACATTACAGATGTAAATCAATTGGTAGAAAAGACTCAAGGAAGGTCCATTTCAGATCATGCCTCAGTTAGAAATATGGCTTCAAAGTGTACTATATCAACTGATTGAACAGTTCAGTGTTGGGGGGTTAGATGGACATATAAAAAATAATTAAATAGTTTACGTGCCTGGTTGGGCAGGCATCAGGAGATACGTACCCAAATTTGTGTCCTGTGTGAACTCATGTCTTTTTAAACTATTCTTCTGAGTAAATCTTTGTCAGTCCTCACATTCAAATGGTTTCTCTCCTGTGTGGATTATCATGTGTCTGTTTAAATTAGATTTTCTGGTAAAAATGTTATCACATTCATTACAACTAAATGATTTGGGTTGTGTCTGAGCTTCTCTTTGCGACTCTACACAGCAAATTTGGAAGTGTTAATTCAACTCCTAGGGAATTAAATTCAACACTATGAAAGTGTTAAACAGTTAACTCTGTGACAGAGTGGGAATGACACTCTAAATAGTTGAAATTTAACACACATAAATGTTGAATTTACCTGACACTAATGTGTTTTGTCAAAGGTTAACACTACCAAAGTGTTATTTTTAATACTGAACAAGGTTCAAATTATAGTAACACTTATTTATTTTATTTTATTAATTTATTCACCGTTCTTTAACCAGGCAAGTCCCGTTGAGATCTCAGATCTCTTTTTCAAGGGAGGCCTAGACCTGAAGGCAACCTATTGTACATGTTTTTGGTGGGTGGGGGAAACTGGAGTACCTGGAGAAAACCCACACAAGCACGAGGAGAACATGTGCTAACCACTGATCCATCGTGCTGCCAAAACTATGGTAAGTGTTAATTATTAATCAGTAATGATGGATCATGCTCAAAAGCATCATAATGAATTTAAAAAAAACTTTCCTTTGCTGGCCTTGTGACCATTCACATGTGAGGATATAGGTCTAGGGTGGGCAACCATGAGTGGACCACAAACACTCTGCCTCAGAGTTGAAATCAACTCTTTTTAGTGTTGCATTAACACTGTACACTAGTTAGCAGAGTGACACAAGATGTCACCCTTCACACACCAGGAAGTACTTCTCACTCATGACATCGATTTATGAACAATAACACAGACTTAAACATGAACAACTAACTAACCTGAACCAGACAACTAACCAGAACAACTTGTTTTAACACTCATGACCATTTTTAATAGTCGTACACTTCCAAACACATTTCCACAAGGTTACCAAGAATTCTTTGCTTAGAAAACTCTGGCATCCTCATGCCAGAGTTTGCTGGAAGAGGGTGGGGCTTTTCAGAATACTTCTTTCAACATTTCATAGTGTCATACAAAAACATTACAGTGGTTTGCAAAAGTATTCATACCCCTTGAACTTTTCCATATTTTGTCACATTACAACCACAAACATAAATATATTTCACTGGAATTTAATG